TAGGAACTACATGTGGAAACTAAGGCTCAGTAGGTCACGCCACAAACAGGCGGAAACCGGCATCACACCCGGGTCCAGCTGACCTCCCCCACCCGACCCCAAAAGCTTGATCACAACCGTGGGACCTGCCAAGGTTCCAATGTCCAGCCCCAGGGGTGGCAGAGGGTTCCGGGTAGCCGACGGCGGCTTGTCCTGGTATGGCGGGCGCACGCAGTGTGACGGTGGGTGGCAGCTGTTGTCCGCGACCAAGTCTGGTTGGGAGGCCCAGGTGCCTGGAGACAAATGCATGTGTGTGTGTGTTGACTGTCACCAGGGGACCTCAGGGGTGCCGCCGCCCCGGCTCAGGCTGTCCAGGACTGACTGCTGGCCAAGGTGAGGTTCAGGCCAGCCCGGGCGCTGCGGTCACTAGATTGGAGAGGGGAGGGGAGGGGAGGGGAGGGGAGCTCAGGGCTGGCTCCAGGGCCTGCTTGCTGCCCCTTCCCGCCCCCCTCCCTTCCCCCAGCCCCCGGCAGGCATTTGTTTCCTTCCGAAGCTGCACAGGCCTCTTAGACGCCGCAACAAAAGCAGCGCTCCTTCGTGCCACCGCCACCTGTTGGGTTTTCACACATTTCGAGCGAGCGGGGGGAGGGGGGCCGTTGCCCTTTTCCCAGTGTCTCTGGGGTGCCCCCCGCTGCCCCCCCAGGGCCTGGGATTCTCTTTGCTGCCCCGTTGTGACAGGACTCTGGGGCAGGAGGAGTTGGGGTGGGGGGGCGGCAGCAGCTGGAAGGGGAACTGAGTGGGAAGGGGCGGGAGCTGGCAGCGGGGGAGAGTTTGATGGATTACTCCGCGGGCCCAGAGGTTTCTCCCTAATCCCCCTTTGTGTCCCGGCCGGCAGCCCCCCACTCTCTCTGACAAGCTGCTGAGCAGAAGGCTTCCAGTCTGACGGAAGAAAAGGCAGCTCAGCAGGGTGAACTCTAAATCCCTGGCCTCCCAGCCACGGGGGAGGCAGGAGCTGAGGAACCTGCCCAGGGTGGGGCTGGGTCCCCCTTCCCTCTGCCCAGCCCGCGTTCTTTGTTAGAATTCCCTCGAAGTGGAGAGGTTGCCTTGTGAGGGGGGCCCTCAGATGCCTGGGAGGTAGTGCAGTCGCTGTGGAGTTTTTCTCGAGTGGGACAAAGGATAAACAGGGACCCTCCCCGTTTGGAAATAATTGGTCCCAGAAAGCCAAAGACTGAGTGGTAGGTTGGGAGGTATAAAAGATCAATGGTTCCATGCTGTATCCCCCCCCACTCCCAGAAGTCCAGGTAGAAATTTCCACAGCACCTGTGCAGGGTCTGTAAGAAAGGGTTCTAAAGAGCAAGCTCCCTGCCTCAAGGACCGTGTGTGTGTGTGTGTGTGTGTGTGTGTGTGTGTGTGTGTGTGTGTGTGTTTTAAGGTGTCTGCAAGTTTCCTTGTGGGGCTCCCACGAGGATGCAGCCGCTCTTTAGGAGTGCCGAGCACCGAGTTTATTAGGCAAGGCTCAGAGCATTGGTCTCCTGGGACTGAGGCAAGGGTATGGGCAGTTGGGGTATTGCGCCGGGACACACTCATACCCCAGAGGGTCATCTTCTTACTGCCAGCCTCGAGGGTCTGCTCAATGTGAAACAAAGTACTGACTCTAGTCCAGTGTGGAGGAGCAGGGGTCCCCACGCTCTTTCACCCTGGCCTTGCCTGGAGTGGGCCGGGGAGGTTGAACTGGGGTGATGGACCCCCTTTCTTCGGCTCTGCCTGGATGCGAGACACTCCCTACCAACCAGGTTTCTCTCCCCGGGAAGGACCGTGGATTGTGGTGAAGGATGGAGACGCGTGTTCCGAGCCGCCAGAGGAACCCAGTCTGTGAGAAAGCAGCCCTCTTTGTCAGTGTGAAGGGAGGACACAGGGTCGCAGAGCCCGCGGGGTCAGTGTGGGGGCTGAGGCCGTTTGATGTGCCTGGGCGGGGTGTGGGGACTCTAGCGTGCATAAAGAGGCCATAGACTTGCTGACAGTGGCGGGGCGGGGCCTGTCCCCAGACTCTGCTGGCTGTGGCCTCTGTCAGCAGAGGGTATCTGCTCCCCCTGCTCCACCTCAGCCTTGTGGGGTGGCAGGAGCCCCTTTGAAAGCCCTCAAAGGCCTCTTTATGTGGCCTCTGATCCTCCCTTCCCTTACTGAGCCATGAAGGACACAGGGCTCGCTTGGGTCACTTTCCTGTGCTGGCCTCCAGTCTGTCTTTTTGAGTTTTGGACAAAGTTCAGGGCAAGTTTGTTCCTGTGACTCAGTTTCACTTCCCTAGGCTGCCTGCTGGGGGGTGGAGGCATTCTGGGCCAGTAGGATCGATCTGGGCCCCCACTGGGGTGCTGGCTGTGCCTACCTGAGGTGTGTGTGGGAGGACGACTGGAAGCTTCCCATCCTTTAAACACACACCTCTGCCGTGTCCATGCCTTCCTTGAAATACACATTTCCCGGGTCTCTGGGCTTGCTGGGGTGTGCGTCCAAGAGTTGCCTGCCTTGGGGCTTGGTGCTCCATCTTAGGTTCATAGAGTCGTTAGAGTCCAGTTCCCTGACGCCCCCACCCTGCCTTCCCAGGATTTAATTCTGATCCCCATAGGGATGAGGAAGGAGGAGGGTTTGGGGGAGAGTTCCATGAAGGGTTCTCCGAAGGGTCCGAATGGTTTCTTCTGGCTTTCTAGCTGTTGGGCCATGAGAACCCACGGAGGAGGAGGGGGAAGAGGAGGAGGAGGAGGGGGAAGAGGGGAGAAGTTTGAAGCTTGAGAGGAACATCCGCACCCGCAAGGCTGCTCATGCTTGTCCTTCCTCCCGTGACCTGGCCGGCCTTCCTCCCCCGCCACCACCCCCTCTCCAGGTGAGCAGCTGGCTCCGCTGGTTGATCTTCTGTGTGGCAGACCAAGCGCTCCAGAAGTAGTGAGGAAAAACTCTGAAAGTCTCTGAGACCGGAAGGGAATGGGGAGAGTTAGACCCTGCCCGCGTTCCCTAACGCCAGGAGGATGAGGAGCCCAGACCGCGAGGGGCAGCCTTGACCTGTCCCTTTCCAGCTTGCATGAGGGCACGCTCTGGTGCTGCCATCAGAATTGGTACTGGGTTTCTGTCTCAGTACCCAAGGCAGAGGGCCCTGCGGGTGATTCTGAAAGCTCCAGTCAGTGCATGGGGGTCTGCAATAGGGTTGGCAGACCTAGAGCAGGGAGGCAGTTGAGGAGGGTGGGGCATTGGGGATAAGAAAGTAGGGCTTTGAGCCAGGTGGCGGTGGTGGCATGCGCCTTTAAATCCAGCACTCGGGAGGCAGAGGCAGGCGGATCTCTGTGAGTTCGAGGCCAGCCTAGCCTGGTCTACAGAGAAAGTAGGGCTTGGATGAGGAGGTTCTTTGGGCTTAGAATTCCTTGGATAATTCTGGGCTCAGTTGGGCTGTCGAGAGTGTCTCCTTCCAGGGCAGAGACTGTGTGGACAGAGGGAGGGGCCTGGGAACCTGCCCTATCTGCCACCCCACTCATTTCCATGAATCGTGTGAACCCTGGTCCAGACCCCGGAGACCAGGTAGAGAATCTCTGGGGGTGGGGTGCCGAGAAGCACCCTAGCTCAGGAGCTGCTGCCTGTAGGAGGACGGGGAAATGCGTGTTCTGTTTTCCTGTGGCCCATGGGCTCCCCGCTCCCACTCACAAAGGTGTCGAGAGAGGGCTGAGGGGAGAGCGGCCTCAGGGGGGGAGGATGGCAGGTGGAGTGACCTGGCTAATGGAAAAAGCAGGGCTTGGAGGACGAGAGCAGGTTTATGGGTGAGGTTGGGTCTGGCAAAGTCTCTGTTTGCTCAAGGAGGACCAGGTCTCTTAAACCCAGTGCCGGAGAGTGCCCAGTCCCTCCCAGGCCAAGGGTGGGGAGGAGAAATGGCTAGAAGTCTTCTAGCCCAGACCCTGCCCCTCCAGGCTGGGAAGGATCACTAGGGAAGGGCAGGGGTCAAGTTGAACCCACGGTAGCCCAGCTAATGCCGACGACTGTCCAGTGCCTCCGCTTTAGGACCGTGTGGGTCAGTATTTTATCTTCCTTTTTTTACGCCGCCCTTTTAGGAGCCCCTACCCCTTACCAAAGTGTAGGGACTTTGGGGAGGGAGCTGCCAGGTGCCCAGATTTATCTCAAGTCCTGTATTTCCTAGTCTTCAGCAGCTGAACCCTAGAGGGCCAACGTGGAGGGGAACGACCTTCCTCAGGTAGATGGTGTCTGGACTCTCTGAGACACAGCTTAGTACCTACTACATGCTTTGTGGACCCCGCCCCCTCCCCGGGCCTGATGTTAGTGGAGAAGATAAAAGAAGATGGAGTGCCTTTTATCACGAGCTGGTGAAGCTGGCAGAGCGTTGTCAGGAGGGAGCTGCAGCCGCCTCGCCCTCCCCATAAGGAGTAGCCACTCATCAGCAACATTTATAGGGTTGATTAGTGAGGAGTTTTGTTTCCTGCTCCTCTTTTAGGATAAATGCAGGTTGGCAGGCTCTTAGCGTTCCTCACCAGGGCCTGCCCTCGGTCTCTTAGTACATTTTGATGCCCATTTGAAACTTTTCCCTTTCTGTCTTTAAAAACTGTGTGTGTGTGTGTGTGTGTGTGTGTGTGTGTGTGTGTGTGTGTGGTGTGTGTGTGTCCCCGTCCCTGCTTCAGGGTTGAACCCAAGGCTTTGCATGTGTTAGGCAGGTACTCTACTGTGGGGGACCAGCCCCCACACTTTTTATTTATCCCAGGAACTCATGAGGATTGAGGGATAAGAGACTGAGTTAGAAATAGAGAGTAAAGAAACAGAGAGAAAACACAGGATAGACTCGGTGGCCCTGGATCCTTATCCACTGGCCCAGAACTTTATTCCAAAGGTCTGTTTATAACAGTGCCAAGGGGTGGAGCAAAAGACCTCCCCCTTGCTAGTTAGACCCTCACAAACCCCTGGTGCCTAGGCCCGTGGTCCAGTCAACCTCCCGTGCAGTCCTGCTGGGTACAGCCTCTGGGAAACCCGGTGGGCTCCGACACTCGACCACTGAGTGACACTCAGTCCCTCCTCCTGTAATGTAGGGGCTCACTTTGTAGTTCAGGCTGGCCTCAAATTGATGATCCCCCTGCTTCAGTATTCCAAGTGGTGGGACTGTGGGACTACCCACCATGCCCTAGTTTCATAGCTCGCATCACAGGCAACAGGGGTGCCTGCTGGGGAGCCAGACTTGACAGTTCCTTACCCAGTGGACCCAGGAACTCTTGTGCTGTATGCACCGGCTTGTGTGAGCCGAGGCCAGAGGCCAGCTAGGAAGTGGCGGCATCCACTAGCTCAGGGCTCACTGGCCTCACCTCAGAGGCTCCTAATTAATGCGAATGGCTGAGATCTAGGATCCCATGCTGTGAGGCTGGTGTCCCAGCTGCTTGGGACAGTTGGGCAGTAATAGATGGCTCTCTCTGTCCCCTGCCTCCTGTGAACAATGAACCTGAGGGAAAACTCTTGGGCTTAGGCTCACCAAGAGGAACTTTGTGTCTCAGCGACAGATTGAAACCCCTCTTAAGGAACTGTATCTTCTCCCCTCTTGTCCCCGTCCCGGGGCGTGGGGGTTACAGTGTGACATGGCTCAGGGCCTGGAGGGAGAGAAGAGGAAGTGCCGCTGGGTTTTACTTTTTAACAGGTTACATGCACATAATTATGTGAGTACTGTATGTTCTGGTTGGAGTGGAGGCCAGAGGTTAACTAGTGGTGGATGTCTTCCTTGACGCTCCATTTTTTTTTTTTTCTTTAAGGCAGAGTCTGTCATTGAACTTGGAGCTCACCAGTTGCCTAGACTGGCTGGCCAATGGGTTACAGCCGCCTGCCAGACTCCACCCCAGCACCAGGGTTCTAGACAAGTGTCGCCACACTGGATTTTACATGGTGCTGGGAATCGGAATTCAGATCTTTATGGTTTTGTATCAGGCACTTGGCCAACTGAGCCGCTGCCCCTGCCCGCCCCCCTGCCCCCCAGCCTGGAAATATTTGTGTGTGGGGGGTACTTGTTCACGTTCATGTGTATCGGTGTATGCAACAGCCAGAGATTGATAATCCAATGTCCTCTCCTCTTGATAATCAAATGTCCAATCAAATTGCTCTCCACCTTATTTTCTGGGACCAGGTCTCCCACTGAAGCTGGGGCTCCCAGACTCCTCTGTCTGGCCCTGGGGTCGTCCCGTGTCTGCCCACGTCCCGTGTCTGGCCCTGGGTCGTCCCAGCCCTAGGGTTACAGATAAGGAGTACCATGCCTCGCTAAAAATCGGCTGGGAATCCAAACTCAGCGCCTCATGTGTGCACAGGAAACACTTTGCCCACGGAGCCACCTCTCAGCTCTAGGACTGTCACTTTTGACAAGCATTGAGTGGCCCATCTCGGGAAGCTGGAGAGAAAAGCAAACGAGTTGAGCCTGGCAGGGGGTGTCCAGGGCTACCTTGAGAGCCAGCCCTGAGTGTCTCCAGAAAGAGCAGTAGCAGAGATGCTTCCGAAGAGAGCGGATGACATCGGCTTGGCCTTGGGATGTGCTGACGTTCAAATGTCATTTTCTCTTATTAATTGTATCAGTGCTAGACTAATGTTAACACGAACCTCCTGGCAAAGGGGCTGGTCAGGGCAGAGCAAGGGCTACCTCAGTGGCCTGCAAACGAGCAGGACTCAGAGAATGTGAAGCAAATGCCGGAGACCTGCCCCGGGGCCCAGGACCCAACATTTCATGTGACTGTGACCGACTGTCTTGCCTTTCTAGGATCTGGCTGGTGAGAAGATGTGTCCCCATCAAGGCACTAGACGGTGACCGGTGTTTATCGTGGGATGAAATGCTGCACCGGCACCCGAGGGCTGGCAGAAATGGGAGTCTGGCTGAATCGTAGGAAGTTGGTGGTGGCGAGGAGGAGACGCCACGGCAGGGCTGAGCCCAAGCAGCTGTGGAGTATGTGAATAGCCCCAGAGCCCTAACTGCCCTGTCCATCATGGTCCAGAGGCTGTGGGCCAGCCGTCTGCTGCGGCATCGGAAAGCCCAGCTCCTGCTGGTCAACCTGCTGACCTTTGGCCTGGAGGTGTGCCTGGCAGCCGGCATTACCTATGTGCCACCCCTTCTGCTGGAAGTAGGGGTAGAGGAGAAGTTCATGACCATGGTGTTAGGTGAGTCGCTCCACGTTCTTTCCTCCTGTTCTGGTGCATGCATCTGGGCTGTGGGCAACAGTTCTCTTGCCTGGGGAGTGGTGGGAGACATTCCCTGTTCTCATCTACATCTCACAGCCCTTGGGGACATTCCACTTGACACACAAGGAAAGGGAAGACTAGATTGGTCTTATTTAGCCCGGGTGGTGTGCCCCCGCTACTCAGTAGAATTGGGACTTCACCGTGGTTTCCCAGTCAGGGTTCTCTTTCCTGGGCACAGGACAGGCAGTGTGGGTTTCTGATGTGGTGAGCAAACTGAGCAAGAGCCACAGAAGGCAAGTGGTTACCCTTGTGGCTTCCCTTCTTCGAGGAGAGGATGGCGCAGGCTCTGGGTTCTGGTTGTTTGTTGAAACCCTGCTTCTAGCCCGCAGCAGACCTGTGTCTGTGCATAAGTATGGCTACCCAGGGGCTGCGTGCCTGCCACCATTTCCTCATCTGAAAACAAGGTATTTACAACACACTATACCGAGAGGAGCCGCGTCCCTGTGAAAGCTGAGTGTCTTGCTGCAGCGTGACATGTTGTGCCAACCTCCCTCGTCCTGACCCCTGATTGGTGCTCTTTCCCCTTGCAGGCATTGGCCCAGTGCTGGGCCTGGTCTCTGTCCCACTCCTCGGCTCAGCCAGTGACCAGTGGCGTGGACGCTATGGCCGCCGGAGGCCCTTCATCTGGGCTCTGTCCCTGGGTGTCCTGCTAAGCCTCTTTCTCATCCCAAGGGCGGGCTGGCTGGCAGGGCTGCTGTGTCCAGACACCAGGCCCCTGGAGTTGGCCCTGCTGATCTTGGGAGTGGGGCTGCTGGACTTCTGCGGTCAGGTGTGCTTCACTCCCCTGGAGGCCTTGCTCTCCGACCTCTTCCGGGACCCGGACCACTGCCGCCAAGCCTTCTCGGTCTATGCCTTCATGATCAGCCTCGGGGGCTGCCTGGGCTACCTCTTACCTGCCATTGACTGGGACGCCAGCGCCCTGGCGCCCTACCTGGGCACTCAGGAAGAATGCCTCTTTGGCCTCCTCACCCTCATCTTTCTCGCCTGCGTGGCAGCCACTCTCTTCGTGGCCGAGGAGGCCGTCCTGGGCCCCCCTGAGCCAGCAGAAGGGCTGTCGGTCCCCGCCGTGGCTTCCCGCTGCTGCCCATGCCGGCTGGGCCTGGCTCTCCGGAATCTGGGCACCCTGTTTCCCCGGCTACACCAGCTGTGCTGCCGCATGCCTCGCACCCTGCGCCGACTCTTTGTGGCCGAGCTGTGCAGCTGGATGGCGCTCATGACCTTCACGCTGTTCTACACAGACTTTGTGGGCGAGGGGCTGTACCAGGGCATACCAAGAGCTGAGCCAGGCACCGAGGCCCGGAGACACTATGATGAAGGTGAGTCTTTCTAGCCAGCTGCTGTGGGTGGGTGCTGCCCTGCAGAGGACAGGCAGGCCAGGGTTGGGAGATGCTCACGGTCCCCCCCCCCCCTCAGTAACAGAGAAAGGACCCATCTGCGTGCCCCAGCTCATGGATGTGGCTACTATCCTTGTGGTCTCCCCAGGGCCTCTAAGTCTATGCAGCTCCATTCCCACGGAGCCTGGTGCTCCCTGCCTTACTTTCCCAGAAGCTCACCCCGCCTTCTAGTTCCAGCATTCCACGGAGCCGTCCTGGAGCCACTGTGGGGCCATCTTGTGCTCCTCACCCCCTCCTCCCTCACACCACCTTGAACCTCTTCCTTAGAACATCGTCCTCTGCCCTTAGCCAACAGCTCTGGCCACATTCACTAGTCACAATCTAGAGCCCATTGTTGTGGGCAGGTGGGGAGGGGCCCCGGAGGGGCGCGGGGCGCGGCGGGTTCTATGGCCACTCGTCTCTGGCTCCTCCCCCCCGATGGCGTAGGGTCCTTATCCCCTACTTCTTCCCTACCCGCAGGCATTCGCATGGGCAGCCTGGGGCTCTTCCTGCAGTGCGCCATCTCCCTGCTCTTCTCCCTGGTCATGGACAGGCTGGTGCAGCGGTTTGGCACACGGGCCGTCTATCTGGCTAGCGTGATGGCCTTCCCTCTGGCTGCTGGTGCCACGTGCCTGTCGCACAGCGTGGTCGTGGTAACGGCTTCGGCTGCCCTCACCGGCTTCACCTTCTCGGCCTTGCAGATCCTGCCTTACACGCTGGCCTCCCTCTACCACCGTGAGAAACAGGTAACTCCAGTGGTCAGGAACCGGGGCGGGGGCCGGCTGAGCCGGTCAGGATGTGGTGTCCGACCAGAGATGTAAGGAGAGGCTTGGCTTTCTCTGACCGGAGAGGACAGCCGGGGTCAGAGGCTCCAGCTGCCGAAGAAGTGTAGATTAGATTCTAGGAATGACTTCCTGGCTTTTAGAATTAGAAAGCATTTGAGTGGATGATGGCAGGAAGTGCAGATGAGCCCCTCACTAGGAATCCTGGAGAACAAGCATACAACGGAAGTCCTCTATTCTGGGCCGTATTACTGTATCCAGAGGTAGGGTGTGGGTCCCTGGCATGTGGCTGCAGCAGAGGGCAGTGGGAGTAGCCTGGCCTTCGGGATTCTTTTAGAGAGGATTGTGACCCACCTGTATCCTGCTTGCTGGAGGATGGAGAAGGCTTCTCCCTGCCCCTCTTTCCAGATTCCCTTCTAATCCTCTGTGTGTGTCTCTGTCCCCGTCCCCACCTCTCCCGCTCTCCTCCTTGGCCTCCATCCTCTCCCTCAATCCCCTCAGTGCCTATCTGAGCCTGGCATACTGACTTTTGTTTGCCTGAGCGATAAACTGGGGAGGCCTGGCTCCTTGTTGGGCCAACACTCACCAGCCCCTGCAGAAGGCCCTCTGTGGGAGGCCTCCTGACCCAAACGGCATGCTCACCCTGCCCTGTCCTCGCTGGGCTTAAGGACCTGGGTTCAGAACTCTACCCTACGGAGCACAAGTTGTAGGGGAGACTACAGGCCTTTGCGTCTAGGGTTTTCAGAGTTAGGAAAGACCTGGCCCCTGGCCACAGCTAGTAGGTTGGTTTGCTCAGCGGTAATTTGCAGGGGTGTGGAGAGGGGGGCTGGGAATGGGGACCTGGGTCCTCAGGCTTCTATTGGCTCTCTGGGAGCTCTGGGCCGGGGCTCTAAAAGCTGCTGTCCAAAGATCGGGCTTGAGTATTTGTGGTTATGCCAGAACTAGCTCTCCTCTCGACTGGGGAGCGTGTGTGTGTGTCCCCGGGGACCTCTCCAGTGTCCAGCCTCACTGGTCGGTCCTTGGGTGTCAGCAGGAAAAAAAGGGTCCGGAGAGGCACCTTTTGAAGACGGGCTCGGTCCTGCAGCCCGCCTGCCTGTCCTTTGCCACTTGCCGAGCTGTGGGATGGGTTGACGAGTTGTGAGCTTCCCCGGCCTCGGCTGCCAGCTCCCCGATCTCTGGTGCAGCCAACCCAACCGATTTCTGTGCTCGACACTGCCCGGCACAAGGACCAGTGTGGGATAAGGCCTCGGCTTGTCCTTCAGTAGGAGGCCCCAGGCCACTGGGGCCCAGGGTTGGTGGGGTCAGGCAGACGCGTGCACTCTGGCCTCAGGCAGCCTGTAGGGATGACCTGAAAAGCTTCAGGGTCAGGCAGCTGAGCTGTGGGGGTCACCAAAATGGCCCTTCCTGATGCCTCTCCCTTCTGCAGGCCCAGTTTCTGGGCTCGCTCTTGTCAAAGGCCAGGACAGTGATGACCTCACCTTGGGCCTGGACCCTAGAGGAGGAACAGGACAGTGAAGACTTCCTATGTCCCAGTAGAGGGGTGTGCAGAAGGGGGTGTGAGGTCGCCTGCGTGGGACTTGGGGCTTTAGGAGCGTCTTGTTGGGTTTTGTGTCTTGCTTCTGTCTGTCCCAGTCTTCCTGAGCTATTCTCAACCTGTAGGTTGGAGTTTGCTGGCTTCTTCCCCACCCCCCAGCTGAGGATCGAACCCAGGGCCTTGCGCTTGCTAGGCAAGCGTTCTACCACTGAGCTAAATCCCCAACCCCGCTGACTTCTTATCTATTCTAAGAAAAGCTAAAAGAGACTTCAGGCCTCAAATTTGGGGGTTCCGCTTAGAGCCACAGTACGTAGGGTCTCCCCAGGTTTCGGAGTTTTTTGGTTTTTTTTGAAAGCCAGTGGCCTGGTTTCTTAGAGCCCCTGGGTCAGAGGCAGTGAGGAACTGTTCTCAAATCCACTTATCTTTGTTTCCTTTTTTGTGCGCCCCCTCTCCCCCCCCCCCGCCCCCAACTCAGGTGTTCCTGCCCAAATACCGAGGGGACGCTGGAGGTGGTAGCAGTGAGGACAGCCAGACAACCAGCTTCTTGCCAGGCCCTAAGCCGGGAGCTCCCTTCCCCAATGGACACGTGGGCCCTGGCAGCAGCAGCAGCAGCAGCCTCCTGGTGCCCCCACCTGCACTCTGCGCGGCCTCTGCCTGCGACGTCTCCATGCGAGTGGTGGTGGGTGAGCCGCCCGAGGCCAAGGTTGTTACTGGGCGGGGCATCTGTCTGGACCTTGCCATCCTGGACAGCGCCTTCCTGCTGTCCCAGGTGGCTCCATCCCTGTTCATGGGCTCCATCGTCCAGCTGAGCCGTTCGGTTACTGCCTACATGGTGTCAGCGGCAGGCTTGGGTCTGGTCGCCATTTACTTTGCTACACAGGTAGTGTTTGACAAGAACGATTTGGCCAAATACTCTGTGTAGAGTGCTGTTAAGGCATTGAGGAGAAAGGGTCGGCCTCTTGGGCCCCCCAGGGCTGCTAAGCTGGCCTCTCCGGGTCTGTGTCGTTGCCTAGGTGGTGTAGCTCTCTGCTGCCACCCTATGGCGGTGAGGTGTATAGTTGCACAGACCGAACCTGGGACTTCCAGCTCGTCTGGCTTTAGAGTCTGGCGGGCGCCCCCTGGCGGCTTCTCGCGTGGGTATCCGTCCGTCTGAAGTCCTGCAGGGATGCAAATGCAGTTTGTACCGGTGCGTTACCAAGGCTCAGAGTTAACAGCTCACCTCCTGGTTGAGTCGCCACGGAAGGATCTGGGGACCCGAAGGAACTTCCCAGTGAGTCCCTTGTCCAGATTCGGCCGCTTTTGCTCTTGCACGGGAGTTTCTCGTGGGACCCTCTCCTCCACACGGTTCGACAGGACGGAGGTTGGAGGGAGGAGCCCGAACAGACAAGGTGAAACCCCGTGGTCCACAGCACTGCCCTTCTGCTGCGTCCCTCACCCGCACCTGTTCCGGGAAGTGGCTCGGCTTGTTGGCCTCTGTGTTGCCCTCATGGAGACACAGGCCTTTAAATATTTAATTTATTTATTTAACACATTAGAAGTAAAATTCATTCCCAGCCTTTTTATGTTGTGCCTAGGAGGTCGAGCAGGGTGGGATCTCCAAGAACTGGTTCCCCCTAAAATAGCTGATAACTGCCAGACTCCTCTTCTAGGGTGATAGATATCGTCCCCAAAATATCCAGCCCAGTCCCTTGGGCAATCTATTCACCCTAATTGAGAGCCCGGAGCTGTCCCCACTCAAGGCTGGGCATTGAGGGAAACTGAAGTGGGGCTCAAGGTCTCTACAGCATACCAAGTCCCCCTTTTCTCTTGCCCCAGCTTGGCCCTGACTCCCCCCCCC